GAAGTAAAAAAAGGCGGCAAAAAATTGCAAATCTAGAAGAAGAAGCAGCAAAAGAGGGAAAATTATTTTTCTATGTACAGGCACAACTTTTTCTTATACAAGAAAATTATTTGAGAAACTTTTTTATTCATAACGTTTGAACGAACGGCGGAACACAGCAAGGCACGGCGGCAGCAGCATGCCATGGCATGATGAGGATGGATGGCGGCAGCGGCAGCCAGCAGCCAACATCACACAAATAAAAAAGGAAGTCCTTTTTGCATCTCATTACTTTTCACTGTGTGTATGTGTGGAGGAGGAGGGGGAGTTTGCAAAAAGCCCGCAAGGTGGCAAGCGTAAATGAGTGTTGTTATCATGCTGTGTTGTGGGTGTTGAGTGGTTCTCACTCTCTCTCCCCCCAACAAAACCAAACAAATCAACATCTCTTTATTAAAAAAATAACAACTCACACAGCAGCCAAGCAAAAAAACATATGAGCCAGAGAGACAGAGTGCCAAACAAAACACACAGAGAAAGAGAGAGCGAGAGTAGATGAATAATGAACCTGTGTGTTATTGTTTTGTTTTGCCTTGTCTGAATGGATGCATGCATGCTCGCTTGCTCCCTCATTTGCCAAATGTATGGATGGATGCTGTAAACAAATGCAACCCTGTGCATGTCAGGCTCTGTTAAATACAATGTTATGTGTGCGTGTGTGTGTGTGTGATTGCCTAATTACAGAGACAGAGTTGTATTCGTAACGGATGGCGATGATATGTTAAGACACCGTCGTGCCGTTACAGGTATTTACATTGTAGACGAGTACGCATGTTTGCCAGTGTAATGTAACGTACACAGAATCATTGGGGAAACAAATGGCTGTAATTACAGTATTTTTAATTTCGAACACACAGCGACCGCAACTGAGAGTCGGAGGAGCAGAGAGCACACAAAAACAAAAAGAAACCCCCCAAACGTAGCGGCTGCAGCATTAGCAACGGCGGCAGCAACAGCGGCATAGACAACTAAAGCAGCAGCAAATGAGTTGTTTGTTATTAATCACCAACAACAACCACACCAACAGTCAAATTGTAAATTCTCTTCTCATTTATAAATGAGAATTGTGTGTGTGTGGGGAATAAAAAAAGAAAATTACTCATTTAGTTTTGTTGGTTGGTTGGCTGGCTGGTGTGATGATGAGTAGAGAGAAGGTACGAATCGTAGCAGCCGCAGAAGAAGAAGAATAATAACAGCAGCAGCAACAACAACAATGCAAACAAGTATGTACTCACAATTATAATTGGAGGTTAATTAAAAATGTCTCATTGGATAATAAATCGCAACGACAAGCTGGCTGATTTCTTTTTCTCCGTAAAGGAATTTTCTGATTTACACTTTCCATAACGCGCCAAAAATAAAGGAAATGAAAATGAAAAAAAAATCAGAGGCAATTAGCAAATGTTAATGGAGATTATCAAAGGAAACTGATTTATATAATTTGATTGTTTTTCTTATTAGAAAAATAAGATTCATTTTAATGCAAATTTTCTAGAAGATTCTATATTTGGTTGGAATATAGATTTCAATGAGATTGCGAAAAATGATGGCAAATGGCATTTTTATATTAAAAAAAAGGTTTCAATTTAATGACAAATTTTTGTAATTGGCGGCTTTTCAAATGGATTACAGATTTTAATTAGTAATTTTAGGAGAGAGTGTAAAATATTCCAACTTAGATTTTTCTTCTTATTACAAAAATAAAAATTATTAGAAATAGTGTTTTTGGATGCAGTTTTTTGGTAACCCCGTGAAATTTGAAAATGTAAAACAAAGTGCCAGATTTATAAATGCTTAGGAACTTTCAATTACGTTTTATTTTCAAATTAAATATTTTTTTTGAAACATTAATAACATAGTGGAAATTATAAAATAGGTGGACATCCATTTTTTTCTGTTTTGTGAGTTCAACTCTGCTCTGTAGGAGTATCCTTTTCAGAGACCTTTTTTGTGGTTGGATGGGGATTGTTGAAATATTTAAGAAAAAAATACAAGAAAATTACCAACATTAAGTAATTTCATTGGGGGGAGGTGGACATTTTCAAAATCTCCGGCGATGGCCTAAAAAAATGGGAACACCAAGGTGAATTGGAAAATCAATTCCGTTTTCGATATTTTGGAGATTGGGACAGTTTTTTTTCAGCCGCATTGGCCCTAACTTGCGTTCTAATTGGATATACAAATCTTCCTACCAAAAAATATCAGTATCGGTCCACTTTGAGTTATAGCCCCCATACTAAGGCCCCACACCCATTGTAGATATTTTGATGATCCTAGGCGTATTTTCCAACCGAAGGTGTACAAATTACAGAATCTTGGATGGAATGTAAAAGTAAGTTCAATGTACTAGGTCCATATTTTAACATAATGTATCCAACATTTTCAAAAAAAAAACTAAAAAATAGATTTTTTTATTTCCCTCTTTTTCTGTAGTCTAAAAGTGGATTTAAAAAAATATATTTTTAGGGCTCAATAAATGGTCTGTTCCCGTACTGCAAGAATCTACTAATTTTTACTATTTTTTCCGATAACATAAAGGTAAAATTGTTATCGTAGTAAAAAATTGTACATTCTGGCAGGATTTGGAACAGACCAAAAATTTGTGGATTTGTGAGGATTTTTAAAAAAATATTTTTAGGGGCCTGTAATCAGACGTGAAAATATTTTAAGGTGTCTATAACCAGGCTTGAATTAAAAAAAAATATTTTTAGGGATCTATAACCAGTCGTGGATTTTTAAAACCTATTTTTAGGGATCTATAACCAGGCGTGGATTTTTAAAACCTATTTTTAGGGGTCTATAACCAGGCGTGGATTTTTAAAACCTATTTTTAGGGGTCTATAACCAGGCGTGGATTTTTAAAACATAGTTTTAGGGTTCTATAACCAGGGCGTGGATTTTTAAAACATAGTTTTAGGGATCTATAACCAGGGCGTGGATTTTTGAAACATAGTTTTAGGGGTCTATAACCAGGGCGTGGATTTTTGAAACATAGTTTTAGGGGTCTATAACCAGGCGTGGATTTAAAAAAAAATATTTTTATGGGGCTCTAACCAAGCGTGAATTTAAAAAATATCGTTAGAGGCCTATAACCAAGCGTGAATTTAAAAATATCGTTAGAGGCCTATAACCAGGCGTTGATTTTTTAAACATATTTTTAGAAGTCTATAACCAGGCGTGGATTCTAAATTTTTTAGGAGTCTATAACCAAGCGTGGATTCTAAATTTTTTTAGGACTCTACAACCAAGCCTGGATTCTAAATTTTTTTAGGAGTCTATAACGAGGCTTGGATTTTAAAACCTAATTTTAGGGGTCTATAATTAGGCGGGGATCTTTAAAACATATTTTTAGGGATCTATAACCCCGCATAGATTTCTTAAAACGTTTTTTAAGAGCCCATAATATTTTAGAGGTCAACCACAAGTCGTGGATTTTTTAAAAATTATTTTCAGGGGTCTAGAACAAGGCTCTTTTTAAAAATTATTTTCAGGGGTCTACTACAAGGCTCTACCACGAGGCGTGGAGTTTTTAAAAATTATTTTCAGGGGTCTACTACAAGGCTCTACCACAAGGACTGGATTTTTTAAAAATTATTTTCAGGGGTCTATTTTACAAGGCTCTACCACAAGGACTGGATTTTTTAAAAATTATTTTCAGGGGTCTATTTTACAAGGCTCTTCCGCAGGGCGTGGATTTTTAAAAAATTATTTTCAGGGGTATACTTTACATGGCTCTTCCACAGGGCGTGGATTTTTAAAAAATTATTTTCAGGGGTATACTTTACATGGCTCTTCCACAGGGCGTGGATTTTTAAAAAAATTATTTTCAGGGGTATACTTTACATGGCTCTTCCACAGGGCGTGGATTTTTAAAAAATTATTTTTAATGGTCTACAACATTTTAAAATTTCTTAAAAATTATTTTTAAGGGTCTACCACATTTTAAAATTTTATAAAATATATTTTAAAGGGTCTACCACATTTTAAAATTTAAAATTGGGGAAAATGTGTTTACAGTTTTTTTTCATTCGCCGGAGATTTTTTGAAATTTGCATTTTCGATTTTTTATACAAGAAATTCTACCACATAGAGACAGAGTGAAGATTAGTTTAAAGTATTTTTTTTTTATTCCCCGGAAATGTTTTTGAAACCAACAACACTAATATTTAACTGATCAAATGGTCCATAGGCATTGTTATTCAGCTTCGGAAGATCCATTTCATACATTTGAGGAGAGTGCGATGCATAATAGTCCTCAGAAGTAGTTTTCAGTTATTTGGAGATTTTTTGAGATTCGCATTCTTTTATTTTTTATATAGGAAATTTTCCCACATTAGAGGCAGGGTGAAGATTAGTTTCCAGAATTTTTTTTATTCCCCGGAAATGTTTTTGAAACCTCAACACTAATATTGAAATGATCAAAAGTCCATAGGCATTGTTGTTCAGGTTCGGAAGTTCCATTTCTTAAATTTGAGGGAAATAGGATGAATAAAAGTCCTCAGAAGGAGTCTTGAGTTAATTGTTTTTTTTTCACAACTGATTTTTTTTCATAAATTTCAAAACTTTTGTTAAATTGATCATTTTTGTATTTGGAGTTTTCACATTACTGGGGAATAGATTGCCTTTTTTAATTTGTTCAGTCACTGGAGATTTTTTTGGAATGTCATATTATTGGAGACAGGAGGGATTATTTAGAAAATTTATTTTTTTTTTTTTATAAAAACAACAAACTGGGATTCAGCCTCACTATTTGCGAAAATTTCAAATATTATTTTTTTCACTGGAAACTTAAAAAAAAATCAACACTCATAATTGATCGTAAATCACTATGCTTTGTCGTTCACTTTCATATTTCAAAATTTTCATATTACGGTGCGAGGGAGTGGAATTATTTTTTCAATACACCAGAGATTTTGAAAATGTAAAATAATTTCAATTATAAAAATTTGGGTTTACATATTTACCTCACCATCCCAGCGGGCCCGCTTGCGCAACGATTCACCAAGATCCTCATTCGATTTCTCGAAATCCTTGCCGACAGCCATACCATCGTTGGGCAAATGATGGACACCCTTCAAAATTTGCTGACCAGCCCAATTTTTCCCAGCACAGCTAATAATCCATACCTTGGTGGGATCACCAACAATCAAACTAAACTTGGCATCATCATCGCCGTAACGGGTAATCAATTCCAGGATGCAATCGAAAGCATCATCGGCCGTTTCCGAGGAGGCCAAAGCCAAACGGATGACATCGTAGACGGTTACCTCGCCCTTGATTTCATTGGCCCAGGTTATGGCAATGCTAACGCTACGTTCATTGGAGCCGCAATCGCCACCCCAGACACCGGGACGGGGTTTTTGGAGAACGACACGTAAGGGCGTTTGGCAATCGGGTAAATAGTGGCGCTGGTTAAAGAATAAATTAAAAAATGAAAGAAAATATAAATAAACAGTGAGCTAATGTTATAGGCGTTTTTCTGTTTTGTTGTTGTTTTTTTTTTTTGGAATGTCCATTTAAATGGCCTTTCCAGTTGTAATCTGTCAGTTGTAAACAAAACAAAACCAAACACAGTCATGCACACCTTTGTTTTGTGTTTTGCCTTTTTTTATTTATTTTTTGTTTTTGTTGTTTGTTTTTACGATTACTTACCTTGCCCTCCAAAGATTCCGCTGGCTCATAGTAGGCCACCTCTTGGGCCACACCCACCAGGCTGGGATTCTCCGAATTACGCCCAATGATGACAGTATCCGAGGCAGTGTTTGGTGGCATGGCCACAAAACAATTACCCTGAGTGCTATCACTCATTGTAGCAACCAACGTCAATTACTTCCTCCTCTTGAATTAGATGTCAAACTTCTTTCTCCAATTAGACAAAAACGTAGAATATTCCAGACGTCCAACAAGCAAGCAAGCCGAGTTTTGTCTTGCCTTGTCGTGTTACTTTTTTTTGCAATTAAAGTTATTAATTCTCGCACCAAAAATAATTGATTAATTTCTTCGCCTTTCTTTGTTTGTTTGGCTATTCAATAACGATAATAAAAAAACAAACAGCCAATCAGTCTGTCTGTCAGTTAGTCAGCCAGCTAACCAGCAGCGGTAACTTTGTACTACTGGGGCCCACAAACGTATGGGGATGCCAGCCAGCCAAACGTCAATGTACCGTACGCAACAAAGAGCCCGATTTAGAGAGACAGAGAAATCTTCTCCTCGTTTTCACACAGCGGAGACGAGCGAGCGAGCGACCGACAACAAACGACGACGACACTCAATGAGACACTGACAGTTGAACACTGGAGAAGACGACCAACTCCGGTTTAATGAGACCCCAACAACTGCAAAAAACAAAAAAAGCCAAGAAGAAGAACAAGAGGAAGAAGAAGAAAATTAAAAAATTATTTACTTTAATTCACACCCCATCACAAGAACAATAACAACAACAAAAAACACTTTGTTTTATTTTTCAATTATCTTTCTTTCTATGTGTTATTGTTTTTTTTTTCTTTTTATTAACAATTTGTTTTAACCCTTTTTTCCAAAAAATTATTAATTTTTTAATTACTTTTTACAATAATTTCAGTATTTTTTCTTTAGCGGCGTTATTTTTAATTGTATACCCAAAAAAGACTTTTTGTTTCTATATTCCAATAAGGACTGAAGAAATGAGGGTGGCAGGCCAAGCAATGAACCAATCAGCCAGGCAAAACAGTGCCCGCCCGCTGTCGGCGTCGCTGCCACTTGTAATTGCAAATAAAATGTATGTGTATTAGCAGAGGAAGTGGGAAAGGGAAGACCACCGCCACCCCACCCCCTCTCAGCATATGTGTGCGCGCGGAACGGGTAATTAAGGTTTTTTCTTCATTTCGGTTGTTGTTGTTTTTGGATTTTAGGCAAAAGAGAAGATTAGCATGACTGGCTCTCTCGAGTTGTTGAGATTTTTGTCTTTTTTCTCGATGACGGTTATGCAAAGTTTTGTTCATTTAGCGGTTATCTCCATTAAATGGAAACATTATTCTTTTCCGCCTTTTCTCTCTTTTACTGTATTATTTTAATTTTCTTTTATTTTAATTAATTAATTAATAATTTATTTATTACTTCATTTGTTTATTATTTCATTTAGTTATTAAAAAATCGTTTTTAATTATTTTTTGTTTTGTTTTAATTTGTTACATGCGTACTAGCAGCACGGGGATGTCATGAACTCTGGTAACTCTGTTAATTAACACCTTCGAGTGAAGATATGTTGGCTGACTCTCCCTTGCTCGTCGCTCTCTCTCTCATTTATTGTGTACTAATCACTCATAAACAATGTTGTCAATGTGAAGAGGTATTTTAGCGATTGTTTTTGGTAAATTTGGAAATAGACGAAATTAAATAAAAACCAGTGAGCGGAGCAGTATAGTCGGTATACCCTACACAACTACCACGGAACTGTATACCCTACACAACTACCACGGAACTGTATACCCTACACAACTACCACGGAACTGTAACATTCTGCGGATGTATATTCCAAGCCTTGGCAAGGTCAACAGCACCTCTTCCTTACACTGACATATTTTCTGTACTCTGTACAATCCTTCTTATTATCTGTCTAGATGTGATGTTCGACTTATAATTGTGGCCTATAGATCGACTCGAAAACCCACAAAAAATTAAGTTTTTGGTCCACTTCATCCCAAAATTATTATCTGATCATCACCGAAAATTATAGGCGTTGTCCTTGACCACACCTAGATCCTCATGGAGACTTTCAAATCGATCATCGGCATATTTCCGCCCTCTAGTGTGGTAATGGGTTACTAAATAATATATGAATACGTAAGCACCTGTAAAAATTGAAGTATAACTCCCACATCCGGCATGCAATATAATTGGTATCTTTAAAGGTCAACCACTTCTCCGATACACCCTTCTCCTATATGTAAAAATATAAACGCCATACAATACAAATTTTGTAATTATTTGGGCCATAATTGCGGCCTCTGGAGAATCCAGAAAAAAACGTCAAAATTTAAGTATTTGGTCCATTTCATCTTTACCAAAAACAATAGGGGTCTTCATTGGGACGAACCCATCCTACATGCAAAATTTCGTGAAGATTGGTCCATAACTGTGGGCTGTATCTTGTTTACAAATTATAATGGACGGACGGACATACATGTCTAGATCGACTCAGCTAGTTGAGATATGACGATCGGTATACTTAATGGTGGGTCTAGGATCAATATTTCGCAGCGTTACAAACTTTTGGGGCTGCACAAAGCTATAATACCCTGACAACGTAGTTGTGTAGGGTATAAAAAGTAATGGAAAGTTTGGGTGACGTACCAGATACCAAGCAACGGCTCTGATTGGCTTTAACATGGCGAAGCGCAGGTTTATCTTGGTCCCTCTTTCATCTCAATTGTGGACACTGACCTCCCCGCGGTGTCACCTAGGGTAATTTTTTTTATCATCCATTAAAATAGCGACCTAATATGTGCCGCGAGTTCACCCATAAGAACTATAAAAAAAATTGGTTGAGGCGTCGGGTTAGTTGTCCACACTCGGAAAACCCCTCTTACTATAAAAAAGCAACGAAAATGAAAACCAAAAGCTTAGATTATAGCTGCGGCTGCAGATTTATGGTTCATACGAGAATAAAAGACCTCGTCTCCAGATTCACTCCAGTAGATGAGCGAATTACTATAATCCGTATAAAAGCAATGTACGCAACGGTCTTAATGTAGAAGCAAAGGTGCGATCTAATGTAACACAGATAGCAGAAGCCTACTCCGCTCAACTTACCCACTTGCTTGACGAAAGCACTCCCGATAATAATATAGAAGCACAATGGCAAAGAATTTCCCACTCCCTACAAACTGCAGCTGGTGACAGAAACAGATAGCGTGCTGAGGATCTGGAAGGAGTATTTTGAAAAGTTTCAGGTATCAAATAGTGGCAGTGAAGAAGATACCCCAGAACCAGAGATGACGGTATAGAGTGTATACCACCTAGCCAAGATGAGGTCAGAATAGCAATTAATCGGCTGAGGAGCAATAAAGCAGCAGAATCCGATGGGTTACCAGCCGAACCATTCGAGACTGGAGGTCAGATGCTGGTCAGGAGCATGCGCCAGCTGATTAGTACAATTTGGCCAGAGGAATACATGCCCATTCGAGACTGGTGGTCAGATGGTGGTCAGGGGCATGCGCCAGCTGATTAGTACAATTTGGCCAGTGGAATGCATGCCCAATGATTGGAACATCAGCATCCTGAGTCCGGAGAAATAAGTTTCCTTCCCATCGCATATTAAGTGCTATCCAGCGTGCTGTGCGAACGACTGAAACCAATGGTCAATGACATTATTGGAGCACACCAATGGCTTCAGGCCTGGCAAATCCACCAATGACCAGATTTTCACTCTGCACCAGATCCTGGAAAAACCCCACGAAAAACACATTGACACATTCCATCTATTCGTCCGCTATAAAACCGCATTCGATAGGTCTATCTGTTTAAAGCCATTTCTACGTTCGGCATTCCTCCAAAATTAATACAGCTATGCAGGATAAGTTTAACGTGAACAAGGTCAGCAGTTAAAGCCGAAAAGGACCTATCGTAGCCCTTCAATACCGAACGAGGATTTAGACAAGGTGACAGTTTGTCGTGTGATCGTTTTAACATCCTGCTGGAAAAGGTCATACGAGAACAAAAGGTTAACAGACATTACACCCTGTACACCAAACAACACATGTTACAGTACGTTTACATTTAACCGGATTTCGTTAACCCAGGGGGTTTCAATTGTCATTTCCTTTGCATATATGTCAAATAAATCCTCATAAAGTAGGTTAACCCCGTTAAAAAGTTCTAATGTACAAGGAGTTTTACTTGCCTACGCCGATGACATGACTCCAAATTGAGAAGGAGTCTGCCAAAGTAGGTCTGACAGTAAATGACGAGAAGACTAACTGTGGAACTTGAGAACTACAGCTTCGAGGTGGTCAAATTGGATGAGATGCGCACAAGACCGACGCGCCTTGAAATATTTTTTAACCTCGGCTTATGGAACAACCGTTCTATCATAAGCTAGCTAAGTAAGTAATAAATCCAATTTTTATGCGAACGAATTATCCAATTTGAACCAATCTTTACCATGTCTAGATCAAGAAAGAAGACGGGACCCATTGTTCCACTCCTTCCGGTACCTACCCCATAAAGGATCAAAAACTCCCATACTTATAAATCCAATATAAGGCAAATGGAATCTCTACCTTTACCAACCATAGATAAACTCCGAAGATCAGACCGATTGGTCTACTCCTTCTGGTACCTATCCCACACAGGGTGAAAGTTTAATAATTGCAATATTAGGAGATCCCTAGATCTCCTAATATCAACAATTTGATCAACATTAATGGTCTGTTCCAGTACTTTTTTAATAGTATTTAGTAAATATGCCAAAATTAGATGACAACACTTCAAAATCAACGTAACAGCTAATCAAAAGTTGGCATTCCTGTCTAAACTAGTCGCATAATGGTGACACGTAGGTTCTTCTCCTGGCTTTCCTTTTCATTGCAAAACTTAGATCGTTACGCTTGACTCGAATTAGTATAAATAACTCACTTAGAATTTAATTCAAATAATCACTGCCTTTAGAAGGCAAAATTCAAATAACAAAAATTAATTCAGCTGAGCACGGCTAGGGTTCGAATTTAGGTCCTCAGAGCAACACAAATGTTGTCAGTCCACTTAACGTTCTGAACCATTAACACACTTCCTAAAAGGTTGCGCAAACACATGTGTATACCAGGGAAGCAACTTTGACAAATTTGAATTTAATTCGCATA